TTAATAAAAAAAATACGATTTTTGTAAAAAAATTCTTTTTTATATTTTTAACTTTATAATGCTATAACTTCTCGAAAGATGTATGGATCAATATAATTCTTTTTTTTGTAGATGCATGATGTCTTTACCTATCATTTGGTATATTTTTTTTATAAATCTGACTTTTGACCTGCCTACAGGGGGGGATTCAAAATGACAACTTTTTCACAAAAAATTGACTTTTTCAACTTAAATTTTGAAAGTGTTCCGGAAAGTCTGACACTTTTATATATATATTAAATTAAAGCTAATGTAATTTGCTTTATGATGCGAAAAAAAAATTTCGAACTTTATTTTATCTTCACGGTGAAAATGGCTACCGAATGCTATTATTGTGTGAAAATTCTCGATTTTATTTTTTAAATTTTTAACTTTATAATGCTATGACATATTGAAAAGTGTATGGATCAACATTATTTTTTTATGAGAAATAATATTTTTTAATAATCCCTTTTTCATTCTACATACTTTATCTTAATTAGGATATTAATAATGAACTAGCAGATAATGTAGCTTTTGGAATAGTCCACCAATTTTTTAAAATTAAACACTATCTAAAGATTTGCATCGAAGCGTTTTTTTTTTATAGTGATTTTAATCACTGTCAGATATCATTATACTTAATCCATCTATACCACGTCACCACTGTGCCGCGACCCCCCTGTGCTGGGTTTTTTTAATTTTGACAATAGCATTCTTAATATCTCCTTATACAATATTTTTTAATTTACTTAAAATAACTTTCAATTGTGCATGTATAAGTAGGTATAGATGTTTAACGTTCATTTAAATGTTGAACTAAATCAAAACCAGCGTTTATAAAGTAATCATTAAATGTTTTGCTAATGTAACCGAAAGCAATATACTGCTTTCATTAGTTTCTTTTATAAGAGTTGTAAAGTTATCCGGTTTATTATTTTTCAAAATAATATCTTTAATTAATTTCCATTTAAGTTTTTCATAATTTCCAAATATTTCTTGTTTTGTTTTGTAGTATGTGATTCTAGTCTCCTTTATATTATTTTTTATCATTATTTATGTTTAACGTTCCCTCTAAAACCGATTGCTTGTGCCAGAAAAAACGCGAACACCTAGAAGTCCCAGCTCAACAGAATCAAATCCGTTACCTGCGCGTAGGTACCGGATTTGATTCATGTCTAGGTGCGTAACTACGCACCAAGAAATGACACATTACTGAATGAACTAGTTGGGCCACCTAAACATGTTATTTTTTTCTAAATCTTAAATAGTTGTTTTAATAATATTATAATGTAATATTTCTCACGTAATCCTCAACTGAACTACATTTCCAATTACAATTTATATATTTATACAGATATAATTGTCATACATTTTTTAAAAATTATTATAGTAATGAATAATTTACCTCTCCAAAATAGCTAACTACACACATACCATCGCTATATTGTTGAGCTTCTTTGGAATTACGATACTTGTCGTTATGATGGACTATATGTAGTTCTACTGCATAACTAAAATTAATATTTATTATTTATGAGTTGGTACTAACACTAATAAAAAAATTATACTTCAAAATTTAAAAGCGAACAACTTTTCTTTAGTTTTTGAAAATTAAAAAAATTTTAATTATGTAGTATAATTTTTTTCAAAAACAAATCTCTCAATGGAGATTTTAATGGATAGTAGACTCGTAAAATTTGTGTCAAACTTCACGACAAATAAACAGCAAATTAGAAAGACTTAGAAACTTTCTGCTTAAAATACTAAAAATGAACAAATAAATAGTACTACTAAAATGTACTACTAAAATGTATGGAAATCTTAGTATTAACACTAGATTTATTTATTATATGACAAATAAACTACCTCGAAATTTTGATGAATGCCGTTGATATTATGTTAATAAAAAAAAAAATTTATAAGAAAAGTTATATTCATAGACTTATTAATAAATGATATTTATCACAGAAGCATTTTTACAATAATGAATACTTCATTCGTCATTACTTTAGAAAGTAAATTGTAAAAATGATATTTTATATCCTATTAAAATAAAAAGGCAACAGGTTAAAGATTGTGAACTGTCACAACATTATAACAACAAATTTTACTAAAAAACAGAAATAGTCTGGAAATTATATTATAATTTTATTGGAATTAACCATGCATTCGTTAAATACAAAAATTAGTTTTGAGTCGCATTGATAAATGCTTTAATGTAGCCAATAAATGTAATACAACTTTAAAATATTACATCTTTGCTTATGATGTGGCTATACATAAATAAACTTATTACTAAATAAAACTAGATAAAAATTGTCTACAAGAGATTGGATTGGCTGTTCATCAATCGATTATAAATGTTATAGTTTTACGGCTATAAAAAATAATTATCGGAATTTGATTGTTACTAATAAAATTCATACATTTACTACCCACCCATTCGATTCTCCTTTAAGAGGCTTTACATCAATCAAAGTTGAAATGGGTCATATTGACCCCCACGCTACTTGTAACGTTATAATTTTTTTTTTGGACTTGTATTTTTTTCAAAATATCGTTTTATTGTAAATGCAATGTTATAATCGATATAATATTGTGGAATTGGAATTATGTAAATTTGCCACCGACTGTGCAATTAAGTTTTAAAAATAAATAATCTATTTAGAATTTCCACTAATCGACGATACAAAATAAGAATAAAACATGTAATAAATACATCCCGTCGCAATGTGAACACATTGATTATCGGTGCCTCATTTACAATTATCACTATTCACAATTACCCCTCCTGACCCCACTCGTATTATAATAATTTAATTGTATTGTAATATTAATAATAAAAAAATTCAATTCAGAAAAATGATTATATAATTGTAAATACACATAAAACTAGAAAATATAAGTCGTGTTTGAGCTCAAAGAAATACAAGAAAAATTAATAAAAATACATTTTGTAATAGTAAAAGATTCTATTTACCGTCTTAAATATAAGATTTTGCAGTTAAAACAATTTTTTTACAAACCAAAGTTTCTTAATGAAATTTTGAAAATTAAGTTTTTTTTTTCGTAATATAATTTTTAATAATGCACATAATTTTGTAATTTATTTATATTTTAATTGTTATCCATATTTATACATCATATGGTAACAAATAATGTCTTTGAATCAAAAAAAAAATTAACTTTTTTATGCATATTTTATACTTTTTTAGAAATGGGGTCTAATAGACCCCCACGCGACTATGAACGTTAAAAATAGTTACACGCCTGCTTAAGGGTTAATTACAGTTCATAAATAAGTTTACGATCGATTACTTAATTAATTGTGATTAATAAACTGATCAAAACTACATAATGATATAATTACTTCTAACAAAATTCTTCTTTAACAATATTTAAGTACATAATAATTCAATTAATTAGATCATTTTTCAGTAATATTTAGGTAATAACGCTAATTTTAAATAATTATACTTCATAATGAATTGAATACAATTGATTACAATTATTTTTAAATGAACAATACAAACGCATTACCGTAAAATATTACAAAAATATTATTCTATACAAATTAAAAAGAAGGACATTTTTTCATCAAATGAATTAACCACAAAATACTACATGACTGTATTACATTTTAATAAACTACATTTTAAAACATATTCATATTGATGTTTTACTCTACATACTCTAAATAAGATTAAGTTTTTAATTCCATAACCTTTATCATAATATCAAATTGAAAGAACGGTTAAAAAATTACAAACATGACACAGCCGCTGGGAATTAACAGCCAGTCATGGAAGTGCACGAGAAAGGCGTCGCAGAGACATACCTCATCACAAGCACCGTTCACATATAATTTAGACCGATATATTTCCATGTAGGTTGATAATGTGATATGCGGCTATGAGAAATAGTACTGTGATATTATATTATATTTACATTATATAAATGTAATTATTTCCATCTGGAACCATTCAATTGTTGTAAACTTAATTTTTACTGGGCAATAACTGAACAATGTATTAAATTTTAGGTAATAATTATAAATATAAGATAAAATATAATTCTTTCTTTTTACAAATTTAATAATACCTTCACACTTGAATAAATAGAAAAAATACACCTATGTTATCTGTATCTTGTTAATATTTGTTCTCTTTAAAATTATATTAACTTTAGTTTTTTAAATGATGTTTAACTTGTTTAAAAATGATCGGTCGATAACTTTTGAAGCATTATTAAAAAGGCATTAGCATTTTTTACCTGGTTGGGAGAGTACATATTTATGAATCGCAATAAAAATAAACAAACACGCGCTTTTACTCCAGTCTTTTTATAAGTGTTAATAAGTTCCAATATTCTGATTCAAAAGTTTTTATAAATCATTTATTCTCTTAGTAAGATCATTTTCTTATTTATAAACCAGTTAAATATGTATGTTTCCATTTAAAAACTAAAAATAATAAAATTTAAAAAAAAGGGAGAATGATAGGACTATATTTTTTTGTGTAAAATACTAATAACTACTGAAAAGAAAATAATCTTGTTGTTATCTTATTTTTTTGAAGATACTGCGCAAGATATAATTAACGGATCACTCTATTTATATACTTTTTCAAGGACTTACCTTTTTCCATTAAATGTGTGTTCACTTCCTGCATCTCCTTGGCCCCAGTGCAAATGTAATTGGTCTAAAATATAATGATCGTTAAACAATGGCCCTCCTGTAACAGCTAGAGGTGTACCCTTTTCGTAGTCAGCCAATTCTACGTAAACTAAAATCATTCCAAAACTAAATGTTTAGTTTCACAATTTTATTAAAAACAAAATAAATAGCCACCAGTATGTCCGTCGTTTGTAATATTCACTGAAATTTCTTCATCATCCCAATAACCAATATGTTTAAGTGGCGGTAAAGATACATTATACGCATTTCGAGTTACGATATTTACTGGTGATTGCACTGGATAAGGAAACCGTGATTTAAAAAATGGCCATTTTGAATTAGCCGCTTGATTTTCACTATTAACATGTTGGCCTATAAATTATTTTGAAAACTTGATTAATGCACATTAAACTAATTTTTAAATCGTTAATTATTATTCAAGTACACTTACTGTTATTATTATAAGGACGCTGGTTTCCAAAATTAACAAATTGATCTAAAAAAAAAAATTAATTTAATTAAGGTGTTCTATATATATCGCATGATTTTAGCATGATGAAACCGCTGGACAAAAATATAATTAAATTTACCATTATTATTATTATTATTATTATAGTTGTGTAAATAACTTTGAGACGGTTCATTTCCATTATTTTCATATCGGTCTGTATAAATAANCTGGACAAAAATATAATTAAACTTACCATTATTATTATTATTATTATAGTTGTGTAAATAACTTTGAGACGGTTCATTTCCATTATTTTCATATCGGTCTGTATAAATAAAAAAAACGTGAACAATATTAGAAAAACATTTAAGTTTCAATAATTTTATATTCAGCACTCACTATTATTATTGTTATTTTGATTATTATAGTTATATTGTTGATTTTCAATTGATTCAAATTGTTCATATTGATCTATTTTCAAATGACTAATTTAAGTACAGACAATAAAAAGCTTGATTATATAAATTATAGTTCAGAACTTACTGTTATTGTTTTGATGGTGAGGTCTCTGATTTTCATAATTTTCAAACTGATCTAATAAAAGCATAACATTTCATAAATAGTCTTTAAATTTTTTTTTATGGTAGATGTACATTAATAACAGTAATGGTCAAATGGATGGGGGATTAAAGGATAGATTCCCTCCTATAGAATTACTTTTGTTAACATTTTTTTACAATATTGATAAAAATTATATCATTTTTTAAACGTACATAATAGTTTAACTTAAAAGTTATTAAAATAACTAATATGAAAAAATTTATCTTATAAATTTTGGAGATTAAATTTCAAGTCTTAATTATTATATATTATAATAAACTTGCGATCTGTTGGAGTTTGCTCCTAAAGCTGGATCCCCATATCCCTATACCAGAATTCTGGTTGAACAGGTTGGGGACTTCACTGCCGGAGTGTTCTCCCCCCTTGCGGCAAGAGGAGGGCGCCCTTGGGGGAAGAAGGCGAGAGCGACGACGAGGCCACGTTCGACGTTGGCCTCAACCACGTCGTTGCTCTTGCCAGAACTGCGGAGGTCGAGGGGAGCCTGATGAACGAGGTCCCCGGCACCCACCTGGAGTATCTCGTTCAGGAGATCTCCCTCTCGTGTCAGCCCCTCAACAAGCTGAGAAGCTCTGTGCGGCCATGCCGCAAGAGGTGGCACGACCCGGCTGAAGAGGCGACTGCCACGTCGTCTATGATCGAGAGCATAGGCGCGCAAGTGGCCGTGCTTCGAGGTGTCATAGGCAAACGACGAGGTATGGGTGTGCACAAGGAGGTGCAAACCGCGACGAAGCGTCTGGAGGAGATCCTGGAAGAGAGAAACGCAAAAGAGCGTCCCCGCCGTCCAGGAACCCCTGGAAGCCACACCTGAGATGGGAGCCGCACTGCTGGCGCTAGAAGTGGCGCCTCCGAAATCATCCAAAGAAGCCGGGACGCAAACCGTCGAGATGCTAGATTCAAAGTATAAAACAAGAATATCAAATAATAATAATAATAATTTAAATATTTTAAAATTGTTTTACGTAATGTACTTAATAGTTATTTTCTTAATTCCTAATTACTTTAAAATTTAACATACTCTATAAACTTATTGCAAATTGCCCGGTAACCCTTCATACAATGATTATTTTTTTATGCAATTTTTTTTATCTATTATTAGTTAAGTACTATTAATTTCCTCATAATTTTCATAAATATTCATTTTATCCAGTAAATAAATTTATATTGAAGGTATTGTTATATTACACAATTTAAATTTTTTTATGTTTTACAAATTTTTTATATAGACAGGACTAATGATCATTATTATTATTAAATAAAAATAAAAATAATGTTGTCCATGATAAAAATACCAAAAAAGCTGTTATTAATTCCAACTCGGTTCACTCATAACTCGATTAAGGTGTTTTAATGAATCATGAATCATGAATAATAATAATAATATACTACAATATAAAGAATAATGTAAAAATAAGTAAAAATACATGCTGATTAATTAATCATAGACTGCTAGATTTCTCATAAAATAATAATTATTCTGAGAATTCTGTATTATTATTTTCAAAAAAATATATTATAAGTATAAATTATTTCCTTAATTAAGTAACTATACCTCATAACTAAATTTTTGTATGAAAATGATTTATTTATTAGATGTTAATGTTTTTGTCGTTTCCATGTTTTTTAGCTTCGATGCGAAGCTGAGAAGGTATTGGTTTTACTAAGATGTGTTTTTTTTTTTTTTTTTTTTTTTTTTTT